ATTGTGCGATTGTCATCATTTGCATAAGAATTATATATAACTGTTGTTTAAAGCTTTAATTTGTCAAAAAAGCGTACCACACTGAGTAACTCTTGATTTAATGATCAAATCTTCACGCTTTAGGACTCAAACATAATGGTCGGAGTGAGTGGCCTCAAATATGTTAATTAATTAATAAGTTACGAAATCAGACAGAAAAACATACTTTCTCTGAATAAGCATCCGTTTATTCGACGAACTCGTAGTTCTGACCCTTAAAATATAGGGGGTAGTCGCAATCTGGAAAACATGTTCCCATAGTTCAGTCAGGAAAGCCATCCAAATTTTGGACTCCCTAATGTCAATTTTACTTTAGCATATTTCGCCATATTTTAAGAACTTTTAAGGAAAGAGCACGATTATAAAATTCGATTGCTTAAAGATAATTCCATGTAAAAAAATTAGTAAATATTTATCATTTTATTTAATAAAACTCGAAACATATTTGAATCGTAAGGTTTGTAAGCTTTTACATCATTTTAATGTGTGTAATTTTAAATGACAAAGTGAAAATGTTAAGCGAAATCGGTCAAATAATTCCCATAAATCGAATTTTAAGAAAGCAATACATTTTAGGGGTGAGAGGAAAAAATTGTATTTTTATTCAGAGAAAGTACAATTTTGTGTCTTATTTCGTAACGTAAAATATAATCTGCACTAATTAACACTAGAATATTTGAGGTTACCTTTTTGAACCATTGAGATTGGTTCCTGGAATGTGAAGATCCGATCATTAGATCAAAAGTTACTAAGAATCATCTGTTTCGTTTTTTTACACACTGTACGTAACTATGCACAGTCAAGTCTAAACTATAACAAGCTTTTAAAAACATTTAAAATGAAACAATTAAAAAAAAGTTATTCGACGAATTTTGACATAAGCTTCTAAACTGTCATAAGTTTAAATAGTATTTCAAATAATATGTCTGAAAATAAGGTTATTTTAGAGAAAATGTTACTAAGTGTGTACGTGTATTTTAAATAAAAGTTAAAGGGATTCGCTTTACATTATCAATAATTGATTTTCAGTACTTTTTCCATCCTAACGTTGTTTCTATAATCGTGTATACATGAAATTGAAGAGATGCTATCTTTCTCCGCTTTGTAAAAATATGTTTACAAGTGGTAATGGAAAAAAATAATGATATTTAAGTTATTTTTAGTTTAGTATTTTTCATTTTAAGTAATTTTTCCACCAATACATATCAAAAATTTGAAGTATCATATGAAATGCAATTATGTTCTTCACCACTACACATAAAATTTTAAATATTATAGATAAATGCATTTTCTTTGCTACTATTTTGTGGTGGTGTTTTAAAAAATAAGGTAGCGCAATTCCCAAGTGATGCTTTACGTAAATTTGTTTCTACCGATGCCAAAAATTGAAGACATTCCATTTTTTATTGCAAATTTTAATTTGTCTTTGCTAACACCCTAAGGGTCAGAATTTTATGAAATTTGGTTTTAAAGATTATGTTTGCTCCATAAATCAGATTTTAAGAAAAACTTGATATGTTTCTGCAGAAAAAATGAGTGTTTTTGCGACAAAAAATAGCGAATTTGGCTCCAGTAACAGATAACCTGGGTGGAATAATCATGAGATTTCTTTGAGGTATTGCCATGACAGTTCACTGAATGAAAATCTGACCAATAGTTCAAAAGTTATAAGAGAATGTATATTTTCTTTTTCGGTTACTTTACAGTGGTTTAAAGATTACTTAAGATAAAATTTAACAATTGCCACTTAAGAAATCGGAGAAAAATAAATCGTAATTTAACTGGCAATTTGATAAAGAATCGCTATTCATGGACCAGGTTATATACGCAGAATAAGGTAAAGTTCTTTTGTCTGCAGGAGTTGAATTGCTTTATTGCTTAAACATAATTATAATTCTACAAAACATAATTAAAATCCTACCAAATGTAAATTAGACAAACTTGCTGGTTACTAAAATCTATGCATTTCAGGTTTGGTCTATTGCTCTTGCTTAGAAAGAAGACAAACAAATGGCACTATTTCAGATACTTATACCGTACAGGGAAGGAACTGGTATGAGAAATGTTGGACTATAGATAATTCAGATAATAATTTGCTCTTCATTCAACTAAACAGCTTGAATTTGGGAGATAGGGTATACTCTTTTTTTTATTACAAGCTTGCTTTATATATAAAAGATTTACTGTGACATGAATAATATATATATNTATATATATATATATATATATATATATATATATATATATATATATATATATATATATATATATATATATATATATATATATATATATATATATATATATATATATATATATATATATATATATATATATATATATATATATATATATATATATATATATATATATATATATATATATATATATATATATATATATATATATATATATATATATATATATATATATATATATATATATATATATATATATATATATATATATATATATATATATATATATATATATATATATATATATATATATATATATATATATATATATATATATATATATATATATATATATATATATATATATATATATATATATATATATATATATATATATATATATATATATATATATATATATATATATATATATATATATATATATATATATATATATATATATATATATATATATATATATATATATATATATATATATATATATATATATATATATATATATATATATATATATATATATATATATATATATATATATATATATATATATATATATATATATATATATATATATATATATATATATATATATATATATATATATATATATATATATATATATATATATATACAAGCATATATATATATATATATATATATATATATATATAAATCCGGGAAAAAAGATATAATCTACTCACCAGCTGACACAATTATAGCAGCAAAAAGGAGTGCTTTCTAATATTGTATCAATATAGCCAAGCAAAATATATCAATACAATAGTAAAAGTAGCACTCAAAAAAAAAACTTTTTTTTAAACAAAATAGAACGCATTAAATAATAAATATCACGTAAAAAAACAGAAAAAAAAAACAGAACAAGAAGCAAAATAAAATCTATAAAGTGAGTAGCGCATTCAAATGAACTTATATGGACGGGGAACTTTCAAGAATAACTTGAACTTTCAGTAATGATTTAAAATATTTTCGGAATAAGATTGCCACATTACAAAATACGAAAACAGAAGCTCAGATTTAGCTAAAAGCGTAAATAGAGGAATTTTGTATTATAGCGCTTTCTTACTGCAGTACTGAAGTGCGTTTGATTTGTTAGTTACTAAGGAGTTGCCCGAAAATGGATGTGCGCAAGGTAATAACATTATACTGAATTATAAAAAGAAGTTTATTATTAATAATGTTGATTAATTATGCAATTTTAAAGCATTAGAAATGGCTGGTCAGACTAAATCTGTATCTTTTCCGTAATGTTCCATTGCGCATCTGTCCAGTTTTTATGTTACCGACACTACATTAAACGGCGTCTCCGATGAACTAGCGTTACTGAAACACCGTCATGCAAATAGAACACCCTTGTTTAGTTTAAAACTCGATATCGGGCGTACAGTACTTTGCTGTGTATGTCATGCGATTTCTTCTGCTGCCAGCCACCTGTTTCCTCTACCCTGAAGGACTATATACCAGCAACCACTGCAGCGGTTGTGCTAGGACGACCTCTACTAAACCGCTGGACAGCAGTTCCTGTCCTCTGAAATGTGTTACAAGCTCATGAAACGATGCTGCGGGCGATCCCGAAAGCCTCAGCCAAACTGGTCACACTTCGACCTTCTTCCAACTTCCCAATGACTCGACCTCGCGTAAACTCATCCAGGTGTCGTCTTTTGTGTTGTCTATCGGCCATATCACTCCGTGACAACAAATTCGCTTCGTTTAACCCGTTTTATCCCGACTTTTTAAATTAAAGTGGTACAAAAAGTGGCTTTATGAAAAAAGTGGTATAATATGTTATTCAACTAAATGGCTAATATCAACTATTTGTTTACTATTTCAGTTCGAAATGTCCCTGCACCTTATAGTTTATACATCTAGTGATGGAAACTTAAATCACTAATAAATTATGGTGGAAGGGAAACTTTTAATTCTCTTAGATGAAACACAAAATTGAAACAATTGTTCTACCGCAATAAATGTTTTTGAAAAAGGAAACTGTCCTATAAAAATGACGCTGGGCACTAACAGGTTAAACTGATTGATACCGTGCAACACCATTCACATAAATACTGAGCTTCCACCATCAGGTAGTTCTATTTCCTTACCACACGCCCCCTGGTACCTCATGGTGCACATATGCAAATTTTCTACTTTACTTTACCGTGATTGGTCTTAATGACCTTTCCCTCCGTTGTAACTGCCTATTTTAATGTTGTGCTAGTTTTTCCATTTTGTCCTTAGTTTTTGCACAGCAGTTTACTAATAATATAGCAAAACAAAACTTTGTAGTGTAGTTGCTTAAAACTGCTTAAAAGCAACTACAGTTAAAGTTGCTTTAAACTGTAGTTGCTAAAGATAAACTGCTTAAAACATTTCACTTTCAAAGAAATGACCTTGAACAATCGTGAAGTAAAATTTTCTACAGGGGAGGAAAATTATTTTAGGAGCTTGAACATTATTCATAGCCTACTTCAATATAAAAAAAAATCATTCCAATGAAAAAATATAAGTTCAAAATAATGATTCTTATTTACTAACCGTTCTATTATTTTGTTATCATCACTATTTATTGTGCGATCGTCATCATTTGCATAAGAATCTGAGGCCTTGCGGCCCTTTTCTTGAAAATAAAAGAGAAAAACATACATGATAAGAGTTTAAAAAACAGGACGCAAAATAGTGTGTTTATTTTGTTAACTGATATAATCTATATTTTATGAAGTACCTAGCCCGAAGGGCTATCTGCTTCTCCATCAAAGAATTATGGAACAATAAGGGATGAGTGGGGTCAGAGAAATGTTGTTGATTTGAGGTAGAATGGAGCTTGAACTGGAGGAATTATTTTGTTAACTTTACTTTATTTAAAAAACACCTGGGCACCTGGGCCGCGCAGCGGCCCCTATCCCATTCATCATGAAACTACAAAATGAGTTAAAAACATTTTGAATATAAGCAGTCGTTGTGGTAGCTTTACAATAATATTACCATGATTAGAGAAAATACAAACTTGAACAGAGATATTTACAGTAATGAACATTA